ATATAAAAAATAAATCTCACATCTCTGTCTTTTTAGATCTGCTGTCCTGTGCCTCCTCTGCAAATCCTACAGTTGCCCTACCCATTTCTGAAGGCAGTCCCTCCGGCTTTTGCCTTCCCATTCCCCAGACAAAAGTTTTGTTAGCTTAATGATATATTGCTATTTGAATATTCCCCTTTAGGATTCCAGAGAACTACTGCTCACCAGGAGGGAATCCCAGTGGATTCCTTGCAGTGGACTGCTACGGCACTACGTGCACTGCATTTACTAGCACGTGGCTACTTAGCAGGTAGAAAAATAACTGGCAGGTGCTGGAGTACCATCTTCTTAGAAAAAGCGATGTTTTGGTTGTTAGGCTGCTTATCTTTCAAAAGCATTATCTTAGCCTTATTAACATGTTTCTGTAGTTATATGTCTCCCTGCTTGCGTTTTCCAGTTAGCGTCATGAAGAATTAATAATAAAAGTACTTTCTGACTAAGAAACTCCAATCTTTCGTCTCAGATGAAAGGGAATACCCTTCCCCCCCTCCCCTTCTTCAGGGTGCCAAATAGCAGTTACATTCAGCAAAACTGGAAAGCAGAACAAAGGTCTCTGGGCTTGGTGCTCTTCCTCCAAGAGGCACATTAGGCCACTGATGCATGAGAAGCCGCTTATCTGTTCCAATCTAAGGAGAAATGTTTCTCTTGCTTTCAGCCAGAATATGAGCAGAATTGTCTAGAAGAGTTTCCTTTAAGCCGAATTTGTTTAAACGTTATGTTAAAACATATGTTTTGAATGCAGCAAATAGCCTTTCTCTCCTCAAAGGAACTTCCTCCTGGTTCGGAATTGTGTTGTGCACAGCAGTCAGCCCGACTCCAGACTTGGTTTCAGGTATTTGCTCTCCAAATTATGTGAACCTAGGAAGCTTCTCATCCCAAGGCTCCTTAAAGTAGTCTTCCAGAAATGCAAGATTTTGCTTTCTTTTAAATTCAAAGCAGAGAGCAGCATTTTGTCCCACTTTTGTTCTAACAAGGCAGAACAAAATTATTGTTTGCCTTCTGACTCTTGAACAATCGAATGATAACGTTTACTGTTCTGTGACTGGTTCCATTTCTGTTTTCCAGCAGTCACTCCTATGCAGTTGTAAAATCCATGTTTCATGTGTTTTCTTCTCTATTGTCTTAACCTTCACGGCCAGTCTCTCCACAGAATCTAATAGTGCTTTCAGTCTTTTATCTCTCATAGGCTTGATTATTGTGTGGATCTGCATGACTTTCCTGTAGCTTGTGAGGAGATGTCCAGAGAGGAGCATGGGGTTTGGATCAGAATCTATAGAGGAATGGTGCAGTGCATTGAAACCTGCCACAGGGAGACAGAAACCTGAGTCCCGGAGAGCCTCAAGGCTCATTTCACTGAAGCTATGGGAGCTTTGAAGACTTGCTTGGGCAAGATTTCTGTTTCACATATTTGAAAGGCAGCTACCTGGGTCTCTATACGTACTCTGAGGGAAAGCTGCAGAACAGACAATAACATTTCACCTTGTCTTTATTTGGGGTTAGATAATCCTTTGTCCACAATAACCCCTTTTACAGGTTTCCTTGCTAAGCAGTTTAACACCCTAATAAGCTACACGTTTCAGCAGTTCTACAATCTACGCAGTAGCCACTGCACATTTTGTGGTCGTAAATGCCTAGTTGCAGAGGCTAGGTCATTGGTGAGGGGATGCGGGAGGTGAGAAAGTGTTTTTCAGGCTATGTAAGTAATTTAATCTTTTACTTCCTCTTTAGTATATATTTTCAGTGATGCCTACTCTGTTGAAATCAGTTTACCTAGTTTTCACAACTTGGCTTATGTGTTTGATGTTTTTTATTTAAGTGGTTCTTTCCATGTCCCCATCTGCTCATCTTAGAGTAGCTACAGCTTTTGTATTAACTAGGAGCTGGTTTGCAGCCACAGAATTGCAATAATCCTTTTTTCTTTCTTTTGAATGAGAAACCCTTTTGCTGACAAAATAAGTAAACTGTCAGAACAAAACATTCCTGTCAGTCTGATCAACATCCCGAATAAATTGTTTACAAGTTCATTGGTTGTTTCTGAACTAACGGGTGGTATGCCAGAAACCCCTTCATTTCTTATTCTTCTCCTTTGCAGGACGAAAGGCTAAATTATGTGTTCAGTTGGTCTTGTGAGCTGTGGAAATCAAATTTAAACTGCTTTAACATTACGTGTGCATCTCTGATTTCAGCCTGAAATTTCCAGATTTCCTCCCTTGCCTTTCTCTCTGCCTTTTAATCGCGTTTGTTACCCCTTTCTATGTAAGTGGCACTTGCATACCACCTGCGCTCAAAAGAAGGAGCTTCCAAAATTAGTGGCAGGTCAGCAGCTTTAGTTTATAGTGTGAAGAATGCTGTGGCTACACCTGAGGGTGGGGCTTGACATTTTCCTTTCACTCTTTATTTCTGCATGAACAAACACCAGCAAGTTTCTGAGTGACTTCAGCTGCTCTCATTATTCCAGAGACACTGGGTTTCTCTCCCTTGCAGAGCAATAGCTTTTCATAAGCGGATCTGTAACTTACTTACAGCTGGCTTTTGTCCCACAATTTTCGTGCTTGGGTCCTACGCAACACCTCCTGCTCAAACCCATGTAGGGTAGGACCTGAACCTTCAGTGGTCTCCTCCGTTGCCTCTGTCACCTGCCACATGCCCACACTACAAATTCTTGCTCTTTGCCAGCTGCTGCCTTTGTGTTCTTCCAGTTTGTTCAGCCTTCAAGTGCCCCTAAATCATACCACTCTTCTGCTATCTCAAGTTCAGTTATTCTGCATCTGAAGCTATATGGCACCAAAGAACGTTCACCACCTACTCCTCTGGCAATGGATAGTGTACGTTGTTTAAACATGCCGTTGTTTCTACCACTACAGTGTAGAATTTTCTGTTAAGTGGCCCAGAGCAAATCGTCAAAAATACATGTGATGCTCAGAATAACCTGTTACAAATTTGTCCAGAAATCTTGGGATTTCTTATGCACTCCACTCGTGAATAATCAGGGGTTTTCTTATATCAGTCAGCTGATCGTTTCTTCTCTTGCCAAAAGTGCCAGGACCATCTCCTCTTTTATCTTCTATTCTGCTAGCCTGTTATGTACTCTGAACAAACAAATATGGGTCAGACTATATTGCATGGGTTTTTTTTAATCAAAGGAATTAACCTCTTAAAAGTTAAAACAGTAGATTTTACAACTCCATTTCTAAAATGCATATTTGCTTTAGCTTACTGACCATGAGAAAGCATATTTGCAGCAGTCTATTTTTTAAATCATCAAATTAAGAATAAATTGTTACTACCAAAACGTCTTGGATTTTTTTTCAGGTTCTGAGTTATGTCCGTACAGAATGGGATCCACTTGATGCTAGCTTCAGCACTAATCAGCCTTATCAGGTTTACACAGTAGAGCACTCCGTCTCCGCAGACAAAGAGCCCATGGCTGACAGCTGCATCTACAAGTGTGTTAGAAACAAAATTCAGTGTGTGGCCGTCACCAGAATACCCCTACGATCCAAGGCCGTCAGCTGTTGCAGAGATGTTACAGAAGACAAACTAGTCCTGGGTTGTGAAGATTCGTCCATAATTCTGTACGAAGCCTACAACCAAGTGACTTTGTTAGCTCAAGCAGAACTGCTGCCTGCTTTAATAACCTACCACCCTTCCGGAGCCATATTCATGGTTGGCAGCTCTCAAGGGGAGCTGCAACTTTTTGACACAGCGCTGTCCCCAATTAAAATTCAGCTCTTGGCACAAGACTATTCCCCTGAGGCAACTATGCAGTTCAGTAAACACTTTGACGTGCCCAGCAGCCTCGTCCAGATCCAGTGGGCTGCTCCTCGAGTGGCGTCTGCCAGCACCGCTGGCATGGATGTTCATGATCTGGTGTTGGTTAGATTTGACAAAGGACCCTTAGGAGTACTTCACTTTAAACTCGGTAAGTTACTGAGGGCATCTGTTGGACGTGGAGCTCTCAGAGGAATAGCTGTACCTCACAAGTGGTTTTTGTACCCTTGTTTTAGATATATGGGATCATAGTCTTAAAAGCCTGCAGTTGCAGTGATACCTGAGGATGTGGACCGAGGAGCTCATTATGTTTTAAGTTATTTAGCATCTTCTCATGTGGGGTCTGACAGAATAGGGCCCCCTTCTGCTGTCGCACCAAGGTCCTGTTATGTTCCCTGCTACTCAAATGAAGCATGCCAATTCCTCATATAGAAAATTCTGTATTATGTAATTTTAGGAATATTGTTAATTGTGTAGTAATACCCCTAACAAGCTAAAAGAAGCTTTATTTAATAATTGAATAGTACTGCTGTTTTCTGAGGGGTTTTTTTTGTGTGTATGGTGCAGCCGTCCTTTCCATTACAACGTGTATTTTTCCCAGTACCCTGTTCTTCCTGACTTCAGTACATAATGTTACACCATTTCTTTCCTTGAAGACTTTTCACACAAAAAAGAGAAGGTTTTCATAACCTTCAGAGAAGTTTGGTGTCTCAATTTGCCAGGAGTTGTGAATAAAAGAGGAAGTTATAGTACTAATTTTAGAATTTATGTAGCACTTCTCGCTTCATGTGTAAGAAGACTTTAAGGGATTAAACCCATAACTATCTTCATTTTACAAACAGAATACCAAGGAGCAGTAAATGAAAGCTAAAAGGCTTTCCAAGAGTTACACAAGTCAGTGGCTGAACTAAGAGTAAAACCCCTGCAGCTGCTCGTCACTGAGAACTGCATTCATTCCATTCAAGTCAGGCGAGTTACAGGGGTGCGAAAACCCGCTGTGAGAGCTAAAAAACCAATCACGCTTAAATCTTCTGACTACCAAGCCAGTGTTTTAGCAGAGCAGACAGCCACGTCGAATATGCTCGTATTCTGGAAAATGTCAGCATTTTGCCCACTATCTGTCCAAGGAAATTGTACATCTTCACAGGATTTTTTTAATGATTCTTTTTTATAAAGATATTGAGATTAGGAAGAAGCCTTTTAAAAAAAAAAAAAAATCCCAAGGTGTCCATATGGTTTGAAAATCTACCTCGTTTCTTATTAAGGTGTGCATGTAGTTTGGTGGGGGAAAATCCTGACTAGAAGTACTGCAGACCTAAACATTTAAAAGATCAAATTAAAAAAACTTACCTACATATGCCACTGCAGAAAGGTGAACTACTACAATAGGATGTTAGCGACAAAAATACGGCATTGACTTATGGTTGTGTAGTTTTTAAAAAGCTGATCCAGATTATTACTGTTATCCAAAAAAGCCTATCAAAAGACCGTTTCCAAGTTAGCATTTATTTTGAGATGGTTCAGCTGCCTTATGTTCGATGACAGGTTTAATAGTTGCAGAGTACCCCAGAACGCTAATTATAACAGCTATTTGATGTTTTTGTGCGTGTTGGCCATTAAAACAACCCGCTCTAAATTCCCTCTTACCTGTCGAGCAGAAGGCACTCTAACCACATCTACCTTGCTTTTCTTCAGCCTCCCTTGTGGGGTTTTCTCACAACAGCTTTCCAGAAAGCACAGCTTCCCCCCTTGCTATCTTTAGCACATTTATGTTCTAACGAAGGCAAGCAGGCTCTCAGTGTAGGGATTTAGAGGCCTTTCCTGCTAATTGCCAGCTTGTAAACTTAATTGGACTGTCTCCCTGGGCACCGTTCCTAAATCAATTAGGCGGTGAGTTGGCTGTCACCTCTTTTTCCCAAGCAGGTTGCTTGGAAGCGCACCACCCAGGAGAAGTCAAGCATCCAAATGGGAAGATGTTGACCTCTACAGCTGAAAGTTATCACGTTTTAAAATTCATTCTGCATAATTACCATAAAATCTCTTCTAGGAAGAAGGCAAAGCTCCCTCTATCCCTCCCTTCCTGCCTCTCCCTGCAAATACGCGCTGTTCTCTGTTATATCCCAGTTTTCAGGTTTAGCCCTCTGCCCAGTTTGCCACGCTACCAAGGTGATGGTGTGCTCATCAGCTGGCCCCTCTTCCCAGCCTTGGCAGTTTTTATCTCTCTGCTGCTTAAGAAATAATGCCAATACAAATTATATGAAAAATTTAGGGGTCCATGACAGCAAAACCCAGGCAGCTATTCAGGACTAAATAAAATCAGTAATTAATTCGTGGCTTGGAATTGTTTCCCATAAAATCTGTTAAGAAACTATGTCAATGAGATTAGGGAAATATGTTTTTAACTTCCAGCTGACATATTATGGTTTTGGACAAGTTCTGTGAATTCTTCATTGTGCTGTCTGGCCAGACTTATATCAGGAAAAGATTGATGTTAAATTTACCCTCAAACATTAATGGCAAATATTTCTGGTGTCCAATGCCAAACTCATTTTCAGAAGCATTGCAGCTTCTTGACGGTCATGTCAACCCAGATTTGGATAATGCCAAACTTGGTCCTGGTGCCAGTGGTTCAGCATTGCTGGCCTTGGAAGACATTTTAAATATATATATATATACACACACACACACGCACACAAAATTAATTAGCATGCAAATAAGTATTTTCATCTTCGCTTAGTGATTAGTGTGAAAAATGCCCAACTTACATAATACATTAAAAAAGCTAAGCATTTAGGAAGAATGAAGTCTCCCGTACAATTAGATATTATCACACGTACACAGGTTAAACGCAGCTGTTGCACAGTATAATGTCCATAGGCTTTAATACATGCAAATGTAAAGCAAAATACAATAGACAACCCTTTCTTTTAGGTAATTACACTAAAAATCTAATCTATTTATCTGTTACAAAACATAAATATATAATTTTTTTTCTCCAAAGTGTCAGAGCTGTGTATACAAGTTCTCAGAAGATTACTTGTCCTCAAGCTATAGGCAGGTGTTTTCCTCTACTTTTTTTTTTGTTTGTGAAAAGTTTGTGAGCTGTGTTTTCTATCTATCAGGTCTGCTTTTCTCCGTTATCAGACATTTTATCCTAGCTGTTCTATGGCTTTAAAATTAACATTGAAATTTAGCTTGTTCCTTTTCTCATCAGAATTTTTTCCTTAAAATTAGATTTGACAAACAATATCAGTGAGAAAATAAAAAAAAAATGTGTGTTTATTTAAAGAGAAGGGAACAGTAAATTTATTCTGATCTCTTTCTAATTTCTGGAGCAGTAGTGATAAAGAATACTCCAGCCTAATGGCATAAAGCAAGCAAGAATTTCTAAAATGCCATCTGTGGCTTATGTCACATGGTCATACGGCTGCTCAGAAACAATAAATAACATTTATCTCTGCAGTTTTTCAGTTCAGATGCTGGGATCTACAAGCCAAGAACACTGAAAGTCTTTTTATTTCTAATTTTCAGAGATAGAGTGCTCTAGGTAAATCATGTTCTCATGGAGTGAGCAGCGTGTTGCTTGTTTTTTTCCTTTACGGTTTCATGTGAAATTGAAATTTAAAGGTCCCCAAATGTTGATATCTCCCATGATATCCCCTTACTGAAGAAATGCCTCACTTACAGAATTTTGCCAAGCTGGAAGTTACGTTCTAGAGCAACTGCAATGTGGAGAGTAATTGAATAACTCCTGCTTTCAGGTTTGAGCTGCTCTAAACTTGTGTACGTAGGTACGGTTCTGTGGGACAAATGCTGGGTTTTGGTGTGTATTTCCCCGCCAGTAGGCAGTGCGAGGAACACACATAAAAAACACTGGGAACAAGCTTTTTCTACTGCGTTTAAAACAAACCTCACGACGTGATGTTGTAACTAATAGGTGTTGACCACATTTTCTCAGCCTCCTTGTGTGAAGTTCACTGATGGTTTTTCTCTGCTCTCCAAAGCACCCTCAGTCTAAATATACCAAGGTAATAAGGAGCTATCTTGCACAAAAATTTAATAGTGAAACCCATTAACTTAAACTTCTTAATTTTAACCAGCAGCAATTATTTTTAACTGTGCCCAAAAGTAGTCAGCTGCTGGTCTACATGCTCCTTACGCTGTCTTTGGTTTTCGTATTTCATGTAAAAGGTGTGATCTCAAGAGGACAGCTGGGCCTGGTGGAAATCATCCACCAGTACATTCGTTATGATGAGATACAGGAAGCGATTAACGTCCTGAACACCATGAACTGGAACACGATGGGGCGTCAGTGCTACATATGCTTGAGTGCCATTGCCAATCACCTCCTTAAACAGAAGCTTACGCCAGACAGAGAAGGTAAGAGAGTGATTGTATTTTCACTGTATTTTTGTGGCGTCATTGTAATTCATATGTGGATTACGACAATACATTTATTGACTGTTTAAAGAAGGCAATAGTGAGAGTCCAAGCAGTCAGCCAGATTATGGCACTCCATAATCAAACGATGTATGTAGGCAAGTCACTTCAATGAAATCTGGATCAATGTGTTGATTGCGTTTTAGTTCATTTGTATCAGTAATGCTATTGAAATAATGCATATTTTAATGTATATGTGGCATAGGCATGACTAAGTATATAAAGCACTGTCTCTATGTGCTGCAACTTTGCTGCATTAAAGAAATTTAGCTTATACTGCAGACTAATGGCAATTAATACAGGATTCAAATATTTGTTATATATTAGTACAGAGCACCAGCTTAAGGAGGGGCATTTTCCTGCCATGGAGACAAGAGATTTTAGTATGTTTTTTAAGGTGTTTTTGAATGGTCATTCTTTCATGACAAGATCCAAAGGCTTTGAATACACTATCCTCTGCTGCCTCCTTTAGGATTATAGCATTTGTCCTCACTGTAATATTCTGGCCCCCTGCGGTAGTACCTGGGTTCCCTCACAAGAAATGATGAATTTTAGGTCCAGCCTCGTCCCTGCTGAAGCCTGTTGTGATGCGCTCCTCTTGATTCTCTGTTTATGTTGAAACTCAATAGACTTCAAGATTTGAAGTGCCTTGATTTAGGGAAGGTGTTATCCTCCAGTCTAGCAATCAGACAGCTGGGGACCAGGCATCTTTTGTGGCAAGAAAGAATCCTTAGGATTCCGGCGTGTTTGATGATAGAAAAACTCCAAGGTGTCCTACATTGCTGCCAAGCCATCAGCTATCTCGTTTGGGGGGATCTGATTAAAAAACTCTCTGCATTGCAAGCATAGCGTATCCACTCTAAATAAAAGGTGCTTTTAAAAGGACCTGTGAAAAGGGATGGGTTTCAAACTCTTGTAAAAACATGCACGTTATAAAGAGATGTCTGTGTGTTCCCCCCATGCAGCTCCCTAACACTGTTTACAGGAGATGGAATTTCATTCCATCCGGAAGTTATTCTTTATCAATCTAACAAATTTGGCATGGTAATTTATTTTCTTTTTTTATTAGCAAAACCCAGTGGGGCCTTTTACTTATTGCAATGGGGTGGTTATCTTTGAGATATTTGTTGTGTCTTCAACATCAAGCTGGGCTCTCTAATGAATCTATAACTGTGATAGTAGTCACTCATATTCCATGTACATTGAAATATTTCAGAAGTACAAAACATGCTGTCAGGAAAACAGCAGTGCCAAGAGAGTGCAGCTTGTTTTTGCAGAGGTACTGCTTTATTCAATTTTAATCTAAATTGACTGCTGCTCTGAAAGAAAATACCTTTAAAGTTCAACTTGTCTAGATTTAAGATAAGGCAAAACCTAATTTACTAACACTTTGCCTGTGTTCCTAACACAGTACTATTAGCACATTTAGAGCTATCAAGTCTAATAAAATAAAATATAACTCTGCTTGGAAATAAAGAACCATTATCACTAAATACAGAAATGGCTAGTTCAAACAAATGTTAATAACAGCAAATCAATTAGATTTTGTCAGCCTAATGAGACAATAGGTTATATATTGCTTTTAAAGCCCACACAAAGAGCTAATTAGCAGTAGCAGTTTGCACATTCACTCTCAGAGGAGAACCTATATAGCAAATATATAGCAAATTCTCCCTGTTCTGCCTATAAGGACTTGCACTGCATACTAACTCTCAAGCAGAAGTCACATGACATAAATATTGTTGGTCATTAAACTTCTTTTCAGCTAAGTATGTGGGACACATGTATACTGTGCATTTTCTTCTATTATTTATAAATTTTTGTTTAAAAACACGTTAGACAAATGTCTAAGAGCTCCTGTTGTGGAATATAGCAGTCAGAAAGTATTTAAAGTGGAGAGAACCTCTGTGACAAAAGGGCTTTATTTTATTGATTACAAGGCAGGTTATCCTGTTCCCTGCCAGTACATGCTGTAGGAGAGTCAAACCCTTAGGGTTTCTAGACCCTTCTACGTAAAGTTTTTAAAGAACTGTGGGCTGAAGAAGGTTCCTTAGACCTCAAGGCCATCACAAGAAGGGTTCTGTCACCCGCTGACCTGTGATCGCTGAAAAACTGAACTTCCTTGTTGTTTGCCCAAGAGGACAAGGACAGTTTGAGCTAATTGAGAGTTGATCTCTACTGGACAAACTTGTTCAAACTGTATTACTCTTATGACTCACATTTAATTGTATGCTGCTGGTGAGAACTTGTGTTGTAGCCTTCTCCATCCTTTTGACAGCTTTTGTTGCTCAAAGTCATCGCCAACCCTGCCTCAAAGTGAAAGTTTGTATGCACGTTTGTGTTTGTACAACCTGTCGTATTTTAATTTCATCTGTCCTACAACTTCATCGCATTTTGTCAGCGTTTGAGGAATTTGACTGACTGCAAACATGAGCAACCTGTTGTAATTGAAACTGTTCCACTTGTTTCATTGCCGCTGTGTTTGAACTTCACAGCACAGCTCGAGGCAAGCCTTGGAACCTTCTATGCTCCAACAAGACCTCTCTCGGATACAACCGTGCTGGAGTACAGGGACCCAATCAGCAGATATGCAAGAAGGTTCTTCCACCACCTGCTCAGGTGAATGACAGTTTCAACTTCTATCAGCTTAAAATTAATTGCATATTTCAATAACTACCTACTTTAATGTGGTTGACATTTTCCAAGAGGACCACCCCTGAAAAAAATGCATTCATTGTTACTGTTTGTTTAACTTGCACTTTGCTCCTTTCACATAGAGCATTGCAGATAGGATGCTATTCAGAGTTCTCTTATCGATACACTTAAAATGAATCACCCTTCCCTCTTAGCTCGATAGAAGAAAGACAGCGTGCTTCCGAGAGCTTTATATTCAACAACTTCTTGTAGATGAACTGTTGAAGCAGCTTTGCAGCTTGGAGAAAACGCCGAGTTTCAATAGATGCTAAAACGCAAGTGAACGGTGCACGGTCCAAGACATAGTTGTCTTTGCACCATTGAAATCTGGGCATTTTGTAAAGACGATAACTATATGTAATAACAAGATGAGAATACTCACCCCAAAAGTTCACATGTAAAAATTCGTATTCCAGTAATTTTCAGTGAATTTTCAGTGCCATTAAAATAAAAGGATAAAATGAAATTTTATATAATTTCTGTAAATTATATATTAGAAGAGTCATAATACCAAATACCAGAATTTATAGCACATTGATTTATTGATATATTTTTCCTTCAAAATGAATCAATAGCCTAAATTTCAGTCAGTTGTATGCATCAATATACAGCAGTTTAACCCGTTTATGTGATTTACCACAAATATAGCTGAGACGTTCCCTCTGAGCATTATCCAGTGGGTGAAAATAAGGAGACATTACCTTCTGAATGATGCAATGTTTGTAAGACCTTGTTGAGGAAGAGTGTTGAGGAGGACGTAGTGAGAAGACTTTCAATGCACCCTTTTTCGGCGATTCATCCAGATTATATACATGGTCTGCATGTGCAAATCTAGGAGCTGCAGGTTACTTTGACAGTACTTCTTTCAAATCTTAAAGAAATACCTTATACAGTCTTTTGCATTTTGAATCTGAATAGGATCCTCTTTCTGCTAAACAGGCCCATTCCAAGGGGGAAATTATTCCAAGTAAAGGAATGCTCCAACTATCTGCATAATATGCACCAGCCTTTCACTGGAGTTTTCTTAATAGATGTAGCCACATTAGTGGGTACAAACTCTGCTTTTGCCTTTCCCTTAGAAACCAGCAGGGAAGGTCTGTTGCTGCAATGGCCAAGCGTGGTGGCTGTGGGCCAGCTGCCTGCAGAGGACAGATGTGGAAAGAATGCCTCAGAGATTGCTGAGAGGTGTAACTATGGCGCTGTTACATCTGCAAGAGAAAGGTGGATTCCTTCTGACTCAGGATTTGCTTCCAAATGCTAGCAGGCATGCAGAGGCATGGGGCCCTGGCTAAGCTTTCCGCCCTTGGGCTGCTGCTCACAGCTGAAACCCTGACTCAATTCTCCCAGCAAACAAGCCGCAGTGTCAGAATGCTGCGTGGACAGACAGGAGGTGTGTGGGAGAGGCTCCCCATGTCCTTTACCCCTACTCTAAAGCAGCCCTTAAACAATCTACGGTTGTGGCGGTTTTTGGAACAGACGCGTGTTATTTGGCCATTTCCCTGTTGTCAACGGGATTTGTGTTTGGATGAATGATGGGATCATGTGATTTCTGCAGAACAGATGGTAATGCTTAAAGCTTATCTGAGGAGACATAATCTAAGTACCAAATGAAACGTTCAGAAATGGGAGATTTGTCTGATAGAAAGCAAGGAAATGGTGTTCAAAGCTGATCTTTACTGTATCAAAGTGGCTGTGCCTTAATTGGTGTTTATTTCCTTTTAGAAGTTTTCTTAAGTGGCTAGAACGATTTGCATGTAGGCTAAGCAGAGTACTACGGATTTGTTGGAGGAATGGCAAACCATGGTTCTGGGTGACAGAGTACCATCTACATCTTACATGCTTAGCACTAAATACTTGCATGCTAGTTTCAAGTAGTTAATGAATCTCTTCAGAGTAAATTTTTGTCATTGCAGTTGTGTCTGCATGGGCAAACAAAGAAGACTTCAACGCAGAAGCACTGTAAACTGTCAATGCCAACTCGATGCAGCACTAGGGAGCATTTTTTTACTCTCTTACAAGCTTGACGAGACACAAGCAAAGTGATCACTTTGTACACTATTGCAGCAAGAAATGGAGGAGACATAAGTTAAATTATGTGCTGGTATTCAGAAAGTATTTCTTGGAATAGAGAAGGACCTTCCGCAAATCCTTTGGACTTTAGAGAAAGCAAGCAGTAGATGCATAGAAATTAAATCTAGAGGATAAGGAGAGAAAACATACTTGGAGAAAGTCGGAAGTGGGATAGAAAGTGAGGAAAGTGGCATTAGGAGCATGAGTAGAAGACAAGGTATTGGGGACAAAATCCTAAAGGCAGGGATGGGGACGCACAGAGCCCTGCAGAGGGGCAGTACAGAGCGAAGTGGGGGAAGACAACTTAAGACGTGTGTGGTGGGCTGCAGATGAGACCAGACACATAAGGGATGGACAGGGAAGGGTGGAGTCTTTCATACAAGATTAAAGCATTAAAAGGCTGAAAGTTTCTAGATCTAAATCTGAAAAATGTTCATATAAACACAAGTTTTCACCCCCCTCTCCAGCTTTCCTTTGAATGCCCCACCAATCTGCCTTAAGCCTTTTCTAGAAGGACCCGCTCTTGGGAGAGAAACATTAATTCATTCTACATGCTGAGACAATCTTTGACCTGCCTGCTGAGTCTGCCAAAAAGGTGCCAGTTACTGTTGTACTTTTAAAGCTGTGAGTGCCTGTATTTACTAGAGTTGAGAAATAGAGTTACCTTTTAAGAAAGGCTATCCTCACCTAGTAATAATCACGTGCCAATGATTTTAATCTGTACTATTGGCTGAAAGGTTGCATATCCAGTTGCAAATAACTGGAGACATCCATTTTCACATTATCAGTGAGATCATAGACTAACTATTTTTCTACCATCAGAGGTCAGTTTCTAGAAAATGCTGAATGCTGTGGTGGTAGGTTCTGTCTTCTAGGTACCAGGCACTTTAGAAAGAAGATGCTCTGTCATTCGTGGCTGTGTTTTAAATATGGTGCTGCAGCCCGAGATGGGCCAAAGAACACTGACAGCATGACTGAAATGGATTGCAATCAGAAGGAAGGAAAATGCGTTGCATTTTTGACACAGACATATTATTTGTATCCATCGTTAGAAAAGCTAAGTTCTTAAATGTGCCACCCATGCAGCATCTCCAGCTTCCCCTAAAATAGAAGCTTAGGGCTTTGCAGGTAGAGGCTCTGAATGTAGAATACCTCCAAAAACAGATGTTTGGTATACAAAATTAAAGGCCTCTTAATTATATGCCAAGAATTCATTACAACAGTGTTCATGGAATGAATAATTATTTTAATTTTAAATTCTTATCTGTAATTAAAACCACAGGATCTGGATTACAAGTATAGAAATATATCTTAGGTGTTCCTTGCCACTTGAGTAGCAGTCTAGTATTTTATTATGATGTCACTGCATATAATAATACAATGCGTTAGATCATTATGTAAAATGTTGAGCAGAGGTGGATTTATTAGGAAGCCTTGGGGAGTCATAACCTTCTTGCCCCCACCCTTTTCTCGAGTGCTGCCTACTAAGTGTATTTGTGTAACAGGGGAGTGGCTGCACAACCTCCTGGCTCTGTGTAAGAGCCTCCTCTGGCGTGTACAGAACATGGAATGGGATGGAATCGTTTTTCACTGTTAACTGTGGCATCGCTGACTCATGGCTTTGCTTCACTCTGATCAAGCATTTGTAAATTGTACTTGTCATATTTTCTAATGCATGAAATTATCTTGTTTGCTTGACATACACACATAGGCACAAATACACGCCTGCTCTGTTTTGCTCAGGTTTTTCTGTCTCTCTCAGACAGAAGTGAGACAGTAACAGAGCATGAGCTGGGGGTAAAGGCTGGGCTCGAAAGTGGAGTCTGAAATGCGGCTCAGGAGATGTGGAATTAGAATGCAGCCACAGCTCCATGTTTCTGCAGTGCCCTTTCCTCCTTTGTAACTCTGTTCTTGTGAATACACAATATAAGGATCTTTTTTTTTTTCGTGGAAAAATACTAAGATTCAAGACTATTTGGACCTTTCCACCTAATAACTCCATTGAGAGAATATCATTGGTCTGTGGGTTTTTTCATAGTACAAA